GACATGCATTAACATTTTGCGGAACATGAGGGTGCAGAGTAGTTGTTATGCTAATGTAGAACAAAATCCGCGAGAGAACTGATTACTGAATAAAGAGTTCAAACATACTGGATAAACTATTTCAAACGAGAATTGGTTATGCAAATGCAAAAGGCCCAATAACAAGATCAATTAAGAAGGATGGATATGATGCTATTGGAAAATACCCTAGAAGTAGTGTGTTAGTCTATTGGCATCAGGTAATATAGTTTTCAAGTAGGTTTGTGGATCATCTTCAAAGAAGAATTGACTTCCTGACAAACCATAAATACTAGTATCTCAAGGGGACAATGTATAAATGGTTAGGATAGAGGAGCCATGGCGAATTTATTTTGTTTAATTTTCCAAATACCCAAAATGGACAATTGAACTACACTACAAAGGCAGGTGACTCCAAAACAGCCCAGAAAAATTAACGCTAACAAGTTTGACGTATGAGGCACTTGCTTTCGCAAACAATTAGTTTATATAGCTAAAGCTCTCATGTTGACAATATTTAACAGATGGCTTGACAAACCAACGACCACAGAACGAGTCCACAGAGTTCTTTAGAGTATTTGAGGATAACTAGTTTATCCCATTTTAGAGTATTGAGGGTAACTGTCCACAGAGTGCTTAAACAGAAGTGCCGTTTTGAGTAGTTTGGTGGCAAATTATTGTGATTATTTGTAGAGTTTTTTTTTTAAAAAAAAAAAATTGGCTTTAGCATTTATGATGCCAAAAATTGTGTAATAAGTTAGAAAAAAGATGTTTATGGGAAAGTTGGGAGAATATATGTCAATCGTAAAATGAGCTTTTTAACATAAGCGAACACAAATTGATTCATTTTAAAAGGCAGTCCTACTACACTTAAGATATGTCACATGTTTGGTAAATATTGCAGGTATATCCAAAATCATGACTGCCATTTATGTTAGCACTTGATATGTGGGAATGTGGAATCTGAGAATCAGAGTTTTGGGCAAGACAGTACCTCGGACAACAACTCTAACGTACGTGTCTACAGTAGGCATCGACTTTGTTAGAACCCACATTTTATGTGCTTTGTCATGTTTTGACATTCGGTATGATTATGGCTTGTATAGTTTGCATGTGTATGTTGTGGACTTGTTCGCTTAAGCAAGTGTGATCCATGCTTGTGTTTGAAGCTTGTGATTTGTTAAAGTGTAGTGTGCTTGTCTTGTCCCTTCCTTGATGTGAACTTAGGTGCACCCTTGCTGAGTTATGCCTAAGCCGATGTTATCCAAGCTGGTTAGCGTTTAGCTCTAGATCTTCCAAGCCGAGGTCATCCTCTAGTCTAGAAGTATCTTGGTAACCCCTTGTTGACTCTGTCCTCGCTTGACACATTAGCCGAGATGCTACCTTGCAGCCCAAGTGATCTCGTCCTGGAGTGGTATGACCTACGACGCGAGGTGTGGCGCTATCTAGGCCCAAGATGTGGCACAGCTTAGTCAAGTGTTGTCCTTCCTAGCCGGGGTCATTGTCACCTAGTTGCACGAGTCCTTTTGTTAGGCCGATGTCATCCTTGCCAGAGTGCCATTCCTGTGTAGCTTGTTAAATAGCCTTGGTTATTAGCCGATGTTCATTGCCATCGTCAGAGAGCCCGATACGCTTTTAGACCTTGTTTTGAACACGCCTTCCCAAATGCTTTGTGTCTGGTCTGTCAGCTCACCTTTTCAGGGAAAACCCAACCAGTCGCCGCACGTGTCTCAGCAGAGGGTTAACCCCAGAAGCCGGGTAAAGACAACTATCATTTGATATCATAACCTTGCCTTGTAGAGAGAGAAAACTCTAGGAGGAAGAAGGAGTTTTTAGAGTGAGGAAGTAGATCTTCAAGCTTGATTCCTAGAGATCGAACCGTTAGATCCGTGTTCTAAGGTTAGATTCTTGATCTGCTCATGATGTTCTTTATGTTCATGTTATTGCATTGCATGATCGGAATATGATTGTAAGCCATACATTTTTTTGGAAATTCGGTTTTAGAAAGAGAAAATGACATTCATGTGTTTCTTCAAGAAAAAGTCTTGTTTTGATCCGAAAGCTTACATAAAGAAATCATGTTTTTGTGTTTATTTCCGCAAGAATTCCAGGTACCCAGGTCCATGTTTTCAAACTCATAGCATGAAAATCCCAGATTTGTGATAACAGATTGTGATTGAAAATTCATATTTTTCATGTTTTCAACACTCATGTTCTCCATGTTCATCAACAGAGGGAAACCCAGAGTTTCCCGACCTCTTTTCTTGCATGTGGCCCTCGGGAACACACCTCGGCGAGGAGGTGTGGAACCTCGGCCTAGACCTGGTTGTGCCCAGCATGTTTCCGAAATCATTTGTTGTACATACGAAACTTGTTGGAAAGTGCATTCCAATAGGCTTTGCCCTGTGTTTGTAGGACTTGGCTTGTCTCGACCCGACGTGTGAAGAACTATGTGAGTAGTATTTTTAATAAAGCTATGTTACACTTGCTTTCACAAATCTCGTCTTGCCTTGTTTTGAAAAGTACTTGATCTAGCATGAATGACTATCCCTACTTGTATATATAAACACTATCTTGTTTTGATGACATGTCTTGAAAGTCCTTAGCTGCAGAGATATAATGCAACTGCACTCTTGTCTTGAAAGTCCTTAGCTGCAGGGACTATAACTGCAAACTGCACTCTTGTCTTGAAAGTCCTTAGCTGCAAGGGACCTATAATGCAACTGCACTCTTGTCTTGATATGTCATCGCACTTGTAATATGTAGATGTAATAACATCCAAGGAAACTTGAAAGCCGGCAATGAACTTGATTTCCCCCTTGATTGTAAAGTATGCTATGTATTGTTTTGAAAAAGAAATCTTGGATATCAATCATGCAAAACCTTTATTTCTAATATCATTCACTGAGTATCCAAGCTCACCCTCTCTATATATATATGTAGGTGATGAGCAAGAAGGCATTGAGGCCTAGACGTGTAGCCGATGTGTTTTTGGGTGCATTGCCGACGTGTTTTGGATTAGCATTTTGTACCATCTTGAAGATTATGCTTCTTAGCTTATATTTCATGTGCACTTGTATATGTCGGCTTGAGAAGCCTTTTGGTCCAGATGTATTTTGTATCTCATTCCCTTATTGTATCTAAGTTGTAAGACTTTGTAAAATGTATGTCATTTCATTGGACTTAAGCACGGCTCTCATGGACTATTTAGATTTTGCATATATATATGTTGCTTCCGCACTTGTAAGCCCCATATTTTATACTCTGATTGTGTGTGATTCTTGTAAGTCGGCCTTCGGTAATCTCGGATTACTGGCCATCACGGCACCAAACTACTAGGGGCGGTTTGGGGGTGTGACAGACTTCACTCAGAGACGAATTCCCCATTCCAAAGAACGCTCTTCTCTGCGGCAGAAAGTTCCACGACATTTTTAGCTAGGGAAATTAAATTAAAGCTTGTTTATCTACCAAATGTGGTGGATTAAGATCTCAGTTTATTATTATTAATTTTTTCTTTATGTGCTTAATTTAATGTTATTTTTAGTTACTACATCAGCACTAGTGCAATTATACGAGGAACATGTATCAATAGTGCTGTAGTAGAGTGAGCAATGACCTTAAGTCGAGGTCATATTCTTTTCAGTTAATGTATTGTAAGGTTTCCTACTATTACTTAATGAAGTGGTTCTTCTAGTTGGCTCAGGTTTTCTTGTAAAGAATATAGGGAAAATTTTACTTTATCTTGCAAATAACCTCTTATCATTTATAGATAATCACGTAAATCTCATGATTTGTAGACGTGGCTGTTACCCTTAAAGACTAAGTTTTGGACGTATTCGGCTCGAACTCCCTACATACGGGTCCGAATTACATTCCGTCAGTTCTCACAAGTCCTATTTGTCATCGGCAACCTGTTCGTGTGACTCACATAGTGGATCGAGGGCTGTTATGAATTTTAGCCCACGAAACGCTGAATTTTCGTCTAAGTTTAGGGCGTTTTCGGCTCTAACTCTGTACTTACGGGTCCGAATTACATTCCGTCAGTTCTCAGAAGTCCTATTTGTCATGGGAAACTGTCCGTGTGAGTCACACGATAGTTTAATGCATTTTCAGCTCTAACTCCCAAACTACGTATGCTAATTACATTCCGTCTGTTGTCACAGGTCCTATTTGTGACGGGGAAGGTGGCTGTGACATCCGTACGGTCGTTCGGGGGCTGATTCTCATTTTCTATGATTGGTGTCCCATGCAAGGATTCTAAATAAGCCATGAAAACATAGAATTATGCGCACAGATTGCATTGATGTCTCACAAAATGTTCATTATGTGTGCTTACATTTATAATTATAAACATTTCATGAGATATCATTGTAATTTAATACGCATATGATTGTTGATATAAAAAATAGAGAGGGACTCACAATTTTGGAAAATAATTGAGGAGCAATGCCTTGGATCATGGGAGTTTTTCTAGTGGTGCTAGAGGTACTATCAACACAAAGTGGAGTATACAAGCTGTACATGTCTATGTCATTGTAAGCAACAAATAACTCATTGAGGGCAACACCGCAGTCAAGTTGATATTTATTATGAACTGAGTTTTGATCCCATCCTTTCATTGTATTTTCTATGGATTATTATGTGATCTATTATGTGTTCCTAACAATTACTGGTCTGTTAACTAACAAAAAAAATTAAAAAAAAATTGAGACTTAATTTTGTGTTTTAAGTGTTTATTAATTTAGAAAGTGAATGTATACTTAAATAATATAACTATTTTTGTGTTTTAATAGTTTATTAATTTAGAAAGTGAATGTGTACTTAAATAATATAACTATAATCTGCCTCTACCCCTCTCCTTTCTTTCTTTCTTTCTTTCTCCTCCTCACTCTCTTCTGCCACAATGAGCTACTATGCTTATGCTTTCCACAGTTAAACAACAATTTTAACTAGGTACACACTAACAACATTTTAATAGTCAATGAAAATGAAAGCAGTCAACCTTTTAATTCTATTAATGACAGATTAAAGATCCTAGAGCAGAGAAGCTCTTAGCAATCAAGTTTTATCCAAAAGAAAATGAAAAGCTAATTAGCCAAAATGAAAATAGTAAGTACAAGTTGGGACATCACTCACAATAAAACCTTTGAGGTTTATATAGTCATCCTTTGGAGCATTCTTATTATTGTGCAAAATTTGTTCTGCAAGCTGGGGAACATAGTGCCCTAACAAATACAGTAAACATTTAATAAACATAATGCATATACTTACAAAAAAAATTGTTAATTTCACTTGTCTATAGTAAACACTTCAAAATTTATCTTTAATGCTTAAAATTATAAATACAAACTCAAAATTTATAATGCAACAAGCAATATTTACAAGCTGTAATGCATCAGAGTTCACATTGAAGAAAGCAACTAATGTATACAAGCTGTAATGCAACCAAAGATATTAAAGTTCAACATGAATCTCTTTTCCTGTATCACCCATTCATGATATTTAGATGTTTGTGAAGGAAACAGAGTAATAAATTTTAAAAAATAATCACACCAACTGATCCACATCACAGGTATGTGCAGACGAAAACAATTATTCATATTGGGGCAGATCAATGACATAGATTATAATGCTGGGTTTAGAAACCGTAGAAAAACATGATTAAACCAACTACTAATGTAAGTAAAGTGAAAAGCAACTAAATAGAACTTACAAGCCAACAATCTCAAGATCAAGAAAACAAGGGCAGACTGACAATGATGCACAAAGTGATGCATTATCCATTCTTTCAATATTGTAAAGGTGTAACCTCCTCAAAAAAGCCCTAACAAGAAGAGAAAGAGATTCAAAATTAATAAATAAATAGAGACAATCTGTCTGTCTTTAGTGTGTGCATGACTGTGCACATGAGATGATGAGACTATCACTGGAAATTGGCAGGCAACCCAATAAATAAATAAATAAATATATACACCAAATTCGACTTAGAACCATACCCAGGAGCACCACTGTCCCCACTCAAAAAACTCAAGCAGGACCTTGTGAGAATAGATGACTCATTTGTTGCAGAAATACATTAGGAAATACATAGCATAACTAGGAAATACATTATTGCAGAAACTGAAAGTGTCAACTCAGTGTTGTTGGGAGAGTAGCATAGCAAAAGGAAAATGTAATGAATAATCATAGTTGCCATTAGTAAGCAACCCAAATTCTGTACCTGTGAGCTATGACTGGCCACCCAAATATGAGAGCCCCTACATATGTGGAGAAGGCATGAAAAATGTCTGATTTAACCAATAACAGATATCCCTTCTAAAAATTAAAAAAAAAAAAGACCAATAGCATAGATTCTATGATTAAAACACACTAACTGACAAATGAGTCACCATTAACAAAGCAAAATCCAAAGTATTGCACAAATCAGGAACATTGCTGTTTACATGTTACAGCTTCTCACCAACCTTAATAGCTGTTAGAGAGATTTTAAGCGTAAAAAGACTATAAATTTCAAATAAAACAAGATAAATATGTTCATTTGGTAAACCTGAGCTACAAAGTAAAAACACCAATAACCTAGAAAACTAGATAACTGACAGAGAACAACACAAAGATCATTAAACAACTAGAGATTTAAGAATTAAACCATAAATTCATATTTGGTTTTGCTGGTGAATCACTCATCCCAACTAACTCAATGAAATGTTATTCCTAGAAAATCCTAGTACTTAACAAAATTTGGGGATTGCATGATGTTCAATGTATGGCTTCAATTGAGACCCCAAGCATGATTAGAATTGTCATGGGAAAAATAATATACAATCTAACTATATCACTAATAAACAAACATAATAAAATCCCCTATACTACAGTCAACCCACAAAAGACAGTAGTACAATCTGTTAACAAGTACCTAAAATCCAACGGTAAGAATAAGAAATCATAAACATGTTTGTAAACAAGAATGGTTATTAATATATAATTTCTTTTAGAGTTGCCAACGGTAAGAAATTTCTGAAAAGAAGAAAAACTTCCTCAAATACATAATAAATCTCTCAACAAAAAAGAATTTTCAAGAAACTTCAAGATAAAAAGAGTTACTTTCAACTTCTCCAGCAATAATTTAAAGCTGCCTTCTATGAAGTCAATTTAGTGACAGATACTTCTGTTAAAACCTATCACCTACTTCACCCACTAAACCTAACCCACTACACCACTACCACCTCACCTACTCCACTAAACCTAACCCACTACACCACTACCACCTCCACTTTACCTACTCCATCTACCACCTACTACTACCTACTCTTCTATATATAGGAATCATTGTAACATTCAATATATCAATCAATAATACATAAATTCTTACAACTTCAATTGTACAGTATGAGAGAGAACATTGCACTTGAGAACCAAAAGGAGTCTATTAGTCAACAATCATCACATTCAATTCTTCATGATTGTCTACAAAAAATTCCCAAAATTAAGCAAAGGCAAAAAAAGGGAATTTATATTCTCTGACATTTTTTAAGATTTTAACTATGATGAAATGAAATTTGTTATGCTTTCGTACATTACGAGACAAAAGGCTTTGCCTTCCCTACCTTTTATAATGATGAAGAAATTGTATTCTTTGCATTGTGAGCAACATGATGACTTTATTATTTGATTATTCAACATGCACCGCTGCAAAATGATCCACAAATAAACTATGCACTACTCATGCATAATGAACATAGCATAAAAAAAAAATACACCATATGCATGTGTCTATTTAGACGTTGCAAGGTTTTGTGACAAACACCCCACTGAAGCAATACAAACATCTGTGCCCAGAGATTTTAATAATCCAAAGGAGCTGCTTGCTTCAAATTAAACTAAAGTCAAGTCTAGAAAAGTATACCTATGGCAGATTCCAAATATCCTTTCAAGAGAAGCTGTTCATGGTGTGTTCCTGAAAACCATGAAGATATGCATTTTGCAGCTTGTTCTATACTATCAAATTCCCATCTTTTCATGAATATAGCCTCTATAGCCAGGGATGTATCAGTCTGCAAGTAGGATGAAAATCATTAAGCACAACTCCCATATTGCAATGCATATAGAAGATGCAACATTAAGTCTAATTTGAGCATATATGAAGATGCAACATTAGTCCTCTGAGCATTAATTTGGTTAATTTAATCTCTAAAATATCTAATTTGAGTCAACATGATTCAATTTCATACGACAATCTAAATCGTTAATGAAATAGTAGTAAAGTCTACTTATTGGCTTTAAAATATGTGTTCCATGTTGGTTTGTTTGATTGACTTTTTAGAATCTAAAAAGCTAGTTGGTGAAAAAAAATAAAAATTCATGTTTATTTTTGTCCAACTAGTTTTTTACTTCAAAAAAATTCAAAACATAATTTTTGAAGACTCAACCAAACATTCTGGGTGTGCTTGGTTTGTGTTTGTAGAATAGTTTTTGAGATAAAAAGTACGAAAACTTGTTTGGTTTGCCTTTTTCAGAAATTGTTTTGGAAAATTATTTTGGAGAGAGTTTTAAAAAAAATGATTGATTTGATGTGTACAAGAGAGAGAGAGAGAGAGAGAGAGAGTGACTTTGAAAAGTAGGTAACCAAATAAAATTTTGAGATTTTTTTTGAAAAAATTTGTTTGGTTTGGTTACTCTTAAAAATTTGTTTGTAGAGAATTTTTCCCAAAATTTTTTCTGAAAAACAAACCAAACAAGCCCTCTATGTTTGGTTTAACATAAAACGTTTATTAAAAAAAAATTACATGAAAAATTTTGGTTTGTCTTCTCATTTTTCGGTGTTTTGACTGAAATTTGAAAATTTTCAGTTCAAATGAGCTTTGGTTTAAATCTAGTGTTCAAAGCATATCATCGAACACCTATTGCTCATACTTTTACAGCACCATAATCACATAACCTTGAAAGCAACGTTGTCAATTGTAGCATTCAGATTCAATTGGAATGTAAAACATCCTAAGCAGAGATGAAAAACCCTAACCTTTGCGATCATCGGAGGCATCATGGAACTCCGTATCGTCCTCATCCTCCGCCGCAGACGCCACAGACACTTGAGGCGCATTACCACCATCCTTCTCATCCGGATACCTCACAACCACCACAGGACAAACACAGTGACGAACACAATAATTGCTAACACTCCCGAGCCTTCCATTGTTACCTCTCTTGATCGCACCAAACCCTCAGCTCCCCATAATCACTGCACTCAGCCCTAGCCTCTCGACTTTCAAGCACAGCCTCTCTTTCATGTCGTGGTCCTTCACGATGTGGATCTTGAACGGTATCTGAGCCTCGACAAGCGGCTGAGCGAGAGACAGAGGGACAGCAAGAGAGAGACAGAACCGTGTGAAGAAGTAATAGATTTGCGGAAAAATTTAGGCGCCAATATGAAATATTTCCCAGAAAAATTTGAACACATCCGCGACTAAATTTTAGTCGCTGAAGATAGGTTACCAAAAATTGAAAAAAAAAATTATTTTGGCAACTAAAATAATTTTTTGTCGCTGAAAGTAAGTTTTTGGCGACTAAAACTTTAGTTGCCAAAGAGAAAAAATAATTTTTTTATTTTTCATTCAGCGACTAAATATTTTAGTAGCTAAAAATCAATATACGGCAACTAGATTTCTTTTTGTCGCTAAAAGTAAGTTTTTGGTGACTAATTTTGGTCGCCAAAGAGGAAAAATAATTTTTTTATTTTCTATTCGGCTACTAAATATTTTCGTAGCAAAAAGTCAATATTCGGCGACTAAAATTTTTTTTGTCGCTGAAAGGACATTTTTGGAGACCAAAGTTTAGTCGCCAAAGAGAAAAAAATCATTTTTTTATTTTCCATTCGGCTACTAAATATTTTAGTGGCTAAAAGTCGATAATTGGCGACTGAACTGATTTTTAGTTACCAAAACCTATACTTTTGGCTACTAAATTTTTTTAGTCGCCAAAAAGTTTTACTTTTGGCTACTAGTGTTGTTTTAGTCGCCAAAACCTGTACTTTCAGCGACTAAAAATTTTTTTAGTCGCCAATTTAGCCATCGTAGGTGCATTTTCTTGTAATGCTTATAGCAAAAGACGACAATTTTTCCCCCTGCTAAAGTATCTGCTTGCCAGATACCTGAATAGATTCCTTAGGTTCATTATTTGTGCTCTAGGAAAGGAAATTTCCTTTTAGAAGATTTACGTGTTTCTGGTTTCTCATCTTGGAAGCTTCAGTAATTTGCGTTTTTTGGATTTTCATTTTCTTTATTTATTTGTTTTATATTTTCAAGGAATATATGATAGATTTTCTCTATTATGGATTTATTTAATGGGTTCCTTTTCTTCTTTATTTTTTTGACTTTTGAACAGGACGTAAAATGCCCAAAAAGTAACTACATGCACAACCATTTCTGTCCTAATTTATTTTTAAATTTCCAAAAATAAATAAATAATTAAAAGAAAGAAACACTCATTTCTACCCAAATAAATTAATTCTCTACGTTAAATGATCTCAATTATACTACTGTAAATTAAGCTCTAGTTCTTAGCCAATGCTTTAATTCTAACTTGTTCAAATTAGCAAACCGAACAGATTTAATTGTTATTCTAATATATCTGTTCAAACAATACAGGTCAATAAATATTATAACAATCAATAACACTTTCAATCACATAATTACCATCTAGGAACATAATTAATAGTTCAATCAAGACTCAATTCAATCACAGCCAATTTCAATAAACAGAATCAATTTTCAATTAAATTTCATCAATTGCTCTAAAATTTTCAGAAGCTCATCCATGTACTCAATTTCAATTGGTGCACCCAATAAGATAGGTAATTCTCCAATTTCGATAGATATGCATCGATTCAACAGTTGATTTTTTTTTTTTTGGGAGCCCCCCTTCAATCTAACAACCAAAAATTAAGATGCATACAATATATCCTTCACCCAAAACAATCTTATATTTCTCAACATCTTTTAGAGCTGTTGATTTGACACAGATATAACTATGGGAGAGTGATGTACGGAGGAGAAATTGCTACATTGAAAGCCTGTGTTATAACACAAGTATAATATTATATGCATATAATATTTGTTCATTAATTATATTTTTTCCTCTCTTGAAAAGCGCTATTTACCAAAATTATCAAATAATTCTCGCACCACAGCAAATGAAATGGTTACATCTGTGACAAATCAATAGCTATAAAAGCTCGTCAGAAGTAATAATTAATGAACAAATATGAAACACCACAGCAAATGAAATGTAAAATATAATTACACGTCATTTCGTTTATTCATAAACCAAATACAGTTTTAAAAATATTTTTATTCAAATTGTAGAACGACCCCACGCACAACGCACGTGGGGCCAACTAGTAAAAATAAAAAATAAAAAAAGACAACAACAGAACACCCCAAATTTACATTTCGTAAAATATAATTACACGTCATTTCGTTTATTCATAAACCAAATACAGTTTTAAAAATATTTTTATTCAAATTGTAGAACGACCCCACGCACAACGCACGTGGGGCCAACTAGTAAAAATAAAAAATAAAAAAAGACAACAACAGAACACCCCAATTTACATTTTCGACGTCATGTTCAAAAAAACAAGACATAAAAAGCTTTTTCAAAAAAAAAAAAGCAAATTGAAAACAATAAAAAAAAGGAAAAAAGAAAACAGTACGCTGACGTGTTGGGCTCAGCCGGCCAGCGGTTTGCTACTTTGACCCAAGGGCAGTTGGGTAATTTTACATGTGAACACCTTATCAAAAAGTTAAAAAGTCAAAAAATTCAAAAAGTTTATCCCAAATCAGGCTTTTTAGCCCAAGCTAAAATAGTCAAAAAAAAACAAAAAAAACCAAAAAAAAAAAAAACCAAAAAACCAAAAAACCAAAAAATAAACCCAGCCAAAATTAGTTTGAAAGTTTGGAATTTCCACAGTTATCCTTCTTAAAACAATCATTTTTCTTCTATATCTATTACCTATATAAAAAAGAATGTAAGAACGCTTTGGTGTAACCTGCTACTTGTTTGGTTTGTGATACCTCTTTCCTTGCAGATTGTGGCTGGACACATGGGTTTCAAATTACCCACACAAACAATAGTAGAAGAAAACAAATGTTATCAGTCCTGCTATAAATTTCTTACTCCTTCATGCTGCTGTTTGTTTCTCTTTCAAAGCTTTTCCTGCAGATTTTTTTGACGCTGCTGTTTGCTTCATTTCCAACTCTTTCCTTGTAGATTTTGGGTTGGACACGTGGGCTTCCAATCATCTACATACACAATATAAGAAGAAAACAAATACCACCATCCCTCCTAGAAATTTCCCCCACCGGTGCTCCTGGCTATTTTCCAAAGCTTCTCCCTGCAAAATTTTCTTGCATTTTTTGGGTTACCCATGTGGGATTCAAATCACCCACGCCAACAATGAAGAAGAAAACAAATTTCACCACTTCGAAGAGCAAACCTCACCGCCCCACAGGTCTAACTCGCACTAATGATGATGGCTGGAAACAAATTTCATTCCTTGGTACATGTTAAATAGATGCACACCAAGTGTTTGTCAATATGTCTCAATGAACAAAAAGTTTACCAGCCTGATTTGGGTAATTGGATTTTGATAGTCTTTGTTAAATTTTCATGGATTGCTTTGATCCTTTTTCTATATTATGTGTTTCTGAAATGATTATCCTACGGAATCTACTAATACATATTAAATGAAAGAGAGATTTTTATCATTTTGTTTCCTCAATGGACTGATAAATGAGTTCGTTTATGGATCCATATGCACTGAAGTCTGTTTCTTTCCATTTAATTTTTGGTTTCAGGTAATTTCAAGTTCATATTGGAATTTGATGGTTGACCATTTTCTATGGAAAAGTTATACTTGAAAAAATCCATTTTTCTTATTTATATGAGAGATTGAGATTTCAGATGTGTTATTGGTTTGGACCAAAATATTTAACGAAGCAAAATGAGTTCATAAAACATTTGAAGAAATTACAACTTTTTTTCTCTAACTGCTTGCATGCGATCACTGCAGGAAATTACAATTTTTTCTCTAACATCATGATGTGGGCATCCTTTTGGCGTCTTTTTGTTTCATATTTTTCCTACATTGATTTCCAATTATTAATTGGTCTTGTTAAGTTCTGTAAACATGCAACAACTGAGATGGATGCATGCTAATTTCATGCAATAATTTTTGCTTTCTTTGACTTGTCTATCTAAATTTTCGTAACATCAACAATGTACGATGCTAAATGCGATTTAGGGAATTGGCCCACAATACCTAAAATATTGTTTCAGCACCAATAGGAAGTGGAAAAACAAGACTTTTTGAGCTTTGCATTTTGAGGTTGCTCTCAAGGTTCGTCTTTGCATAGGTAAGATTTATTCACTTAAAGGGAACACTCAAAACAGTAGGTCTTCTATGATTTTGTATATGGAAAAATTTTAGATATTTATTTGAACACTGAAAAGTTCAGAAGATTATTGATTTCACACCACCAAGACACCCATAGATACTCTTTGTTTCATTAACTTTGTATTGTTGATGATTGGGGGGACTTGTTCCTGGAGAATGATTTAGTAAGCTACCTATCCTTTCTGCAGAAGGTTGATGCAGTGACTTGGTATCACATTAAAGATGGTGGCTTGAGCTTTTTCAATGATATAGCACTTGTGATGTACAATAATTACTTCTTCACATCAATTCGGATTTATTTGGGAGAATCAAATATTTCATGGATGTGAAGTTTTGATCCATATCCTCAAGTGTATTCTGAAATGTTTTTTACTTACCTAAAGAAAGAGATGTTTTTGTGTATATAGTTTCTGTCTACAACAGGGAATTACAACATTACCTAGGCAATTAGAAATTAAAATTAATGGAGCATTTCTTTCAATTAAGTCAATAGTTGTTTGGATATTTAAAGTGACGGACAAGGATACACATACATATACAGCATATAATTACTATCATTTATTTCATATCTTGTAATAAAAATATACTATGTTTATCTGTTGCTCTATACATAATCTTAGATATATATTTCAATTATCTACATTAATAATGTCGTGACCTCTATGCGCTTCGCTCGTGGGGGTCCAACTAGTATATAAAAAGAAGGTAACAGTGGTATAACAGATGGTGTACCGATGGGGCTTAGCCACACACGACGGTAGAAACAGGCAAGCTTAGCCACACACGATGGTAAAAACAAACAAGTTCCAAAGCTCCTCGTAGAAATTTTCCAAAACGGTGGTTTGCTCTTTGCCTATTTCCCAAAGCTCCTCCCTGCCAAATTTGGTTGCAGAATTTGGGTTAGTCACGTGGAGTTCAAATGAGCCATGCCGACAAGGAAAAAGAAAACAAAGGGTACCCCTTCGAACATCACATATACATATATATATATATGTATATATATCTGGTAGATGGAGTTGCTGCTATCATGTTCTTCCTTACTATCGATACTGTTACTGCTGTAGCGTTGTCAGAATTGGGTATCCAAAGCTTCGTTCCTGCCGTTGCAAATCCTGGTAATTACATTTGTAATTTCATGCCTACTATTTACAAGTGTGTTGAACAATATTTACCCACACTGTTTTTCACCCCTGCCTACGTGTTTGTGGCCTCTTTGTTTTGACCCCTACCCTTGCACACCATTTGTTTGTCAATAGGTCTCAATAAACAAAGAGTTTGCTAGGAATCGTAAAGAAACGGGAAAATTTCAACATTTCCAAGCCAGCCAACTTCCAACCCCACTCAAACAAGGACAATAATTCCCAAGTTATGAAATTTTTATAGCTAATAAGACAGTTTGATTTTCCAAATTCCACATCCTGGAAGGTTTACTGATGCTTGGTTTGATAACAACTATGGGGACACGAAGATTGAGAACAAATTAGTTATTCCGTCCACCATTTACAGACTAGAAACTCCTGATTAAAGAATAGATTAACAATTTGTTAGTCCGTGCTAAATCATGTAAATCATAAATTGACAGCAATCACACATAAATTACAAAGAAATTTATAAGAAGGAGAAAAAAGGAAAGAAGTGTTTATCACTTGAGTGAAGCCCAAAAAAAAAAATCATAGGAGATAAAATCTGGTGTTCCATCACAATTTATTGATTGAAATCTCCGCAATCCAATTTACTCTATTAGAGTCTTCAATTTGGGTGAAAGAAAGAAGCAACAGTAAGAAAGAAATTCTACAAGTAAAGATTCTGCTAGAAACTCAGATCATGATGCCGCAATAGCTCATTATATGTATGTCCATACATGCTCTATCTGGTGCATGTTCTACCATGTGCAACAACTTCCAGAAACTCAGGTACGTCATCTTCCTCATATTGTCTATTATGCAATTATGCTTAATTTCTCTGTTTGGAGTTCGGTTCTGTTTTGTCGCAATGTCAAGCCTTCTACCCACCATGTGCTTGACAATATGCTCGAATGGATTCTTTGGTTGTGAATAATTCATGGAGCAAATTTTTTCCTCAATTTAATTTGTGTGTAAATTACGCACACCACCCTGTTTGCTAATATGACTCTGAAAATAGAAAATAGAGAATCTGTTAGGTGTCTCAACCATGAATAAAGTCTAACTACCAGCCAACAACATTAGCAAATCACCTTCCTTGAGCTCATAATAAATCATTGAACATTTGAAGAATCAAACAGCTCGAAATTTAAGGTACCTAATTACCTAAAACCCACTGCTCCTGATGATTAATAATTTCATCATACATATTGAATTCGCAAAAAATAACCCATGTATCAAACATGAAGCAGTTTAATAATGAATTACAAAATTAAAAGAGAACAAAATTGCATTACAATAAAATACTAGAAAAAAGCAAGAAAAATTAATTTATCAAAATACTTTAGTGGTCCAAAAAGGCCGTGAAAGTTGTTAATTTCACTTCCAAGCTCATAACCATATTTGGCGAAAAACAACTTCAAAAAAACTTTTGGACTTACATAGTCTCCATCCAAGAATCTGAAATGTCTATCAACCTAAAGTGGCTGAAAAATCCATTTAAAATCCTCCCTGATGTTAAAAAATAAAAATAAAAAAAGGGCAAAAAATACTAACAATGAGGTATTTGTTAGAAATATGTTTCAATTAATAATTTTTAATGATGTTAGAAATATATTTCAATTAATAACTTAGGCAATTTTATAATTGTATAGGAGAACAATTATAAATTTTATTTTTTTTTAGTTAATTCTGTTAAATAAAAAATACTAACGAGGAAGTATTTGTAATTTTCTAAATCACATAGGACAATTTATATTTTAAACAAATTTCAAGATGTGTATTTGTAATTTATCATAAAAAAACTTACACGTTTCACTAGGTTTGTGGCATGGATATGGGATTATTAATTCATTTTCCCCACGTGGATTAAGTGTTTTACTAAGAGCACTATCGCTACTCTATCATCACCACCATTTCACTACGATCTCTACCATCTTTCCAGCCCCAATAAAATAAATAAGTTGATTGGGTTCAATTGTTCAATCCATATTCAATTCAACCCGATTTACTAAAACACGTTTATCAAATAGACAAGTTTGAATTAAATTGTTTTAAATACATAAATCGTTTTGACTTGTCCGAATTTACCCCTTCCTATTTATTAGCAGACCAAAAGTAGGTACAAAGAGTGAGACCCCAAAGATGCAGAATTCTTTGTCCAGAATTCATGCTGATATGCTATAATCTAAGATTAATAACCCAAATGGTCCCAAAGTGTGTGTTCGGTTATATTTTAGTTCCCAAACTTTTAATGTTCCCCTTTAATCCTCAAAGTTTGTAATACTTTTAGTCCCCAACGTAAGTGTCGTTCAAAATTAGTAACTGGTTTAAAATTACAAAAAGCCTCAACAAAATTCAAATGATCAAATGTACATACGATTTAAAAGTATGCATTCTGTAATATTTTGATTCCAAATATGCATTTTACTTCATTTTAGTTTCTAAATTATGCATTTCTCTTCCTTAATCTTTTAATTTTCTTACACGGTTTTTAATAAAAGTACAAAATATCTCTCATTCTATTATTGATTTTAAACAATATTAATAGTAGAGATTAAAGTGAAACAAAATCCTTATTTCAGAGACCAAATTAAAATAATTAAAAGACTAAAAATTAAAGTGTAACATAATACATATTTTGAAACCATTTATGTAATTAACCTTTGTTCAATTTAAAATAATATTTTTTATATTTATAATTAGGGAAATTTATCAAAAAACCCCTTTCAAATACTTGTATCCCAATTAATCCATAAGATATTTTGTTTTGGACATTTGATCCACCAAATCATAATTATCATATTTGAGATATTTTATGGATAATTTTAACTTTACAAATATTTTTTGAACTCTTAACAACTTGGTGATGTGAGCATTCATATTAAATAAATTCGACAGTATGAATTTTTACATCATGGAACATTCATATTGTCAATATAAACATTAATACATATTTCACCATATTATTATTATGAATATTTGATAATTACGTCACTCATAAGAAAATAATTTAGACTAAGTAGAATATAAGTTGGTGAAGAAAGATTTATGAATAAATGTCCCTTATAATTAGTCTTTTATCAATTTAAATATATATATATATATATAGTCCCATAATCTATCCATTATGTGAGAAATTAATTGATATTTAAATTTAGGAGATAGGAAGATCAGAAGATCAAGCGATGGGAGAGGAGTCGTGACAAAAAAGGGACACAAAGATTTCTTGAGATGCGTCGCTTGCGATTTGATATACATCGTGGGTGTTAGTGTATTATAATGTTAGTGTCATATATAACTGTCATACATTAGCATATATTATATACATGTAAAGTAAAATGTTTATTGTAATGTTTATTGTTTTTGCTTTCGGTGCATTTGGCATCCTATGTACAACACTCTCCTCTCTATAAAAGAGAGTGAGCTTCTCCTTGAGAAATATTGATTCAATATCTATCAATACACAATTTATTCTCTCTCTTTCTCTATACATTAATTCTAACATGGTATCAAAGCTAGGTTAAGAACCTAATAATTTCGTTTCACTGGCGGGCAGCAATCTCGCCTTGGCCGCCCGCCGGACAAACCCAAATTTCCTTAATTTCTTCTTTCATGGCAGATTCTTTAACAACAATTCATAGCTCGAATACAACACCGCAACAAACAAGGACACTTCAACAACAACTCAGAGAGCTCGATCGGTTCGCCGATTTTGATCTTGTTCAGGCCTTCCACCGCCCCCACCGTCGAGAATGCCCAGCACCTCCCACAATCCCCTTGATCTTTACTCGGAGCAACAGCACAACAGACTCCGGCACCTCCTCGTCACCTCAGACGACAGATCTGAAACACGCACACTCTCTCTCTCTCTCTCTACAATTGATATAGGCACACACATGATACAGGGATGGAGACGAGAACGCCACGGCTCCACTTTTCACTCATCTCCGCCCTTCCCATTACCTCGCCAAAGCCATCAACACTCACACCACCCTTGATCTGAGCACACCACACAACTCACTCTCCTCTCATACACACACACGCCACCAACTTCATCTTCTCACACACGGCAAACCCATGCACACGGGCACACACCCAGCACACACACACAACACACCTCTCACACATGCACTCTCTCTCTCCATGCATGACAAAGATACACAACAGTAACAGCTGAAACCAATCTCCCTCTCTCTGCCACGAGCGTGAGAAAAAGAACCAAAGACCATCACCGCTGCGGCTGCACAGCCATGCCACCGTGGCCCATAGCTCTAACACATTGATACACTCAACATACTCACAAAACAGACATGGGCTGACTCGGGCTCTCCCTCTCGGCTCTCTCCATTGGCACACTGATACAAGACACACACATCAAAAAAAAAAAAAACCCCCGTAAACTGTCCCGACATTGATTCCAGTTAGCTTCTCCAACGGTCTGACACGACCACACAATGTCTGCTACATCGGTCCGGCATGACCTCGTAAACTGTCCCGACATTGATTCCGGTTAGCTTCTCCAACAGTCTGACATGACCACGCAGTGTCTGCTACATCGGTCCGGCATGACCCCGTAAACTGTCCCGACATTGATTCCGGTTAACTCCTACAACGGTCTAACACGACCAGACAGTGTCTCCTATCCTATTTTTATTTTATTTTCACGTTTTGTTACTCTCTCCAAACTCAAGTTGGTTGTGTCTCTCTTCCTTGAGTTTGAGGGGGGCTGTTAGTGTATTATAATGTTAGTGTCATATATAACTGTCATACATTAGCATATATTATTTACATGTAAAGTAAAATGTTTATTGTAATGTTTATTGTTTTTGCTTTCGGTGCATTTGGCATCCTATGTACAACACTCTCCTCTCTATAAAAGAGAGTGAGCTTCTCCTTGAGAAATATAGATTCAATATCTATCAATACACAATTTATTCTCTCTCTTTCTCTATACATTAATTCTAACAGTGGGGAGCAACATGACGCGTGGTGTTGGATCTAGGTCAACTGGTGGAACCGTTTCAAGGAGGATTCAAGTTATTGCTATTTGTTTTGAATAGGAAAAATGGAGTATTACGTTCCAATGAAAAAAAAAGTAAAAGATATGAGTAGTCACTGTGAGATTTTCTAAAATTTCAACTGCAGTGAAAAAGTTTAAAATAAATTACAATGACATGAAGTATTGAGTTAAATTTGTTATGGAATAGTTACAAATATAAAAAGACTAAAAAAAATAAAAATATTACAAAATCATAAAAAAATTTATCACTTCAATTAATAAGATTGACAAAACTTACCACTAATTTATAATTTATCTTTGTTCTTTCAACTAATAAATTGCAATTTTCCCATATGTGTTATTGTACCCTGGTCTCTCGAACTACTCTCATCTTTCCCACAAGCACATGTCACTCCTTACATTTTGCACAACTCACACAACTACTTCTGTGTATAGCATATACCTCAGTTGTGAGCAAACTATTTTAGTAATTTTTTAACTTTTTATAAAAAAATATATAAAAAAATAGAGACAATGGGACAACTTGTAGTGGCTTATGGGACAACTTGTAGTATCTTGTTAACTTTTTAGGTAAAATATTTAATCTCCAAACGACGCCTTACACACATCACCCCACATTTACCTCTTATCTTACTTTTAAATAATAAATAAAATAAATTTTGATAAAAAATATATATTTTTTGAAAATATAAATTTTTATAAGATTAATATAGTTCAAAAGGTATTGATAAAATCTTTAAAATGAGACTACTGCTTGACATATCTAATAAAAATTAAAAAAAAATAATATCGAAATATACAAATATTAACTCAAATAATATAATAAAATAATAAAAAATAATATTTAAATCATATAAATATTAATTCACAATTCAAGCCGCTCAAATTGGGTGCATCCGTGCACGTGTTAGAATTACACCTCCAGCTACACCATAAATTAGAATTACACCCATACACAAGTTAAATTTACACCTTTACAGAAATTGGAGTTATACTCCGCACAAATTGGAGAGCCACCCACCTAACAAGGAAAATTATTCAGTAATTCCACAATACTATGTGGTCATATTCAAAGCAATTATCAATTACCTAATCTCATGTTATACGTTCATTCCTAACATAAATCGTGAGTCCTCACCCCTTTCTATCAATCAAAACCTTAAAAAATACCACGTATTCATACTCCGAGAATATTGAATAATCACACCCTAACAAGAGATCCCACAACGGTGTATGCCAGAGAGGTTGGCAGAAGAAGAAAAAATGAAAATTTGTTTCCAAAACAAACAAAAACAACTTTATTTTGGTTATAAATATTTAATAAATTTTGAGAATTGTTTGTAATTTTCTAAAACTAAAAAGAGCATTGCATCCAAAAATTAAATCCACTTTTCAAGTGTATGACAATCAATTAAGATATCTAAGGTAATACTTTCTCTTATATCTTTTTTAATCATCAATCAATTATATCATTTATACATCATTAGATTTATAAAATGGACTTATATATATCATTTTCTAAGTAGAAATAGATACCAAACAAGTTACATTTGCAATTTTTAAAGTTTTTGTAATCATAAAAACAAGAAACAAATATAAATAGAGTAATACTACAATTTATGAAAGAAATATCAGGAAAAGTTTTTATGAAAATTTTCTATCTTTGAATTAGATTGTAGTGTTTTATTATATGTTATGCAATTACATAACACCCTATTAATTGTAGAACACTATGGGACAAAATTAAGGCCATGTTTGTTTCGCAACTTGAGTGGTTAGATTGGACTGCCATGATTGTGGGTCCCACCCACAACATGTTTGGTAGTGAAATGAGAGGACAGATTGATAGTTCAAGAGACTTTGTAATCCCCTCAGTAGGGGGATTAGCTTGACTGGGTTTTGGGTAGGATTAGAAAAATAATGAAGGGATTGAGTCTATTTTATATAATTTTTTTTACTAAGTGCTCCTGTTTGTTTTAATATTTGTTTTATTTTTTTTAATATAAAAATAATTATTTATTTATTTTATATAAAAATAATTTAACAATCTAATTATTAACTATCTACTATACTATCATCCATACAAACACACTTTTACTTAATCCCCTCACTAACAATCCTCACATTAACAATCTTTTTACTAACTATCCTCTCACTAACAATCTCACTCAACTTAATCCGCCAAATAAATGCGGCCTAAGTTTATACTATTTGCAAACTAAGATTTCAAAATTAAAACATCCTTACATTAAGATAAGTAACTTTTCGTATTTTGTTACCATTCTAAAAGCTCCCTGAAACTTTACTTCATATTTCTTTCCTCAAGTCTAGCATTACTTTCGTTCCAGAAAAAAAAGTCTAGCCAAAAAAACGGATGTGTTTTTGGCTACATGTTCAAGCAATTTCACCATCCCATAAATCCTGAAGAGATTTATATGGGCCAACATCTGATATGAACTCAACTCCAGGAAATCCTTTACGCTGCAGAATTTGATTTATCATCTCGGAGTCTTGTGCGCTTAGCTCCCAATCAAATATGTGAAGGTTCTCTTTGATCCTCTCCTCGTTAAAGCTCTTCACCAGAACACTCACTCCTTGCTCATAAACCCATCTAAGACAAACTTGTGAATATGAAAACAAGAAAATTTTAGTAATCTCTCTCTTTTGTATGGTAGTGTGAGTATTTTGTGCCTTTTTTGCAAATCTGAGGTTGAATCTGTCAACCATATCCTTTTGTTTTGCCCAATGACTTGGAAGATCTAGTTGAATTGGTGGGAAAAAAATAGACAATGCCTGATACAGTTGAAGGATTGCTTCAATGGTGGTTAGGAGTTAGACTCAAGAAATTGGCATTGCAAATCTGGAAGACAATTCCTTTTGCTTTGATGTGGTCAGTGTGGAAATTAAAGAATGATTGCTTGTTTAATGGATGTCAGCCTAATCTTGCTGAATTAGGCGAGATTGTTAAGGTGAGGGTGCTTTATGGGTTAAACATAAAACAAAAGGGGTGCCATGATGTTTGGCAAGTGAGAAAATAGTTAAAAAATAAAAAAGTCATTAACAAAAAGTCAATTATTCTCTCTATATTTTTTAGGGAAAATTACATATACACCCCTCGAGGTTTGGCTAAATTACAAATACCCCCCTGAGGTTTGAGAAATTACAAATTCCCCCCTGAATGCTATATTTGCATAAGAAATTAGGGGGTAATTTGTTATGAAATATAAACCTCAGGGGGTAAATT